CGTCCCAGCGCCATGTGTGGTACCCGGCTCACCTTAACTCTGCCCACCCCACGCAGCTCCCGGCTGGTACCTTTCTCTTCTGCAGCACTTTTCCCTTCTCGACGATGACCGGGGAGGGAGATGGCTTCAGGGCGCTCTTTGCCGACGCGGTGCGCTTCAACAGCGGCGTGAGGAACGAGCCCTGCTGGAAAAACGCAGCGGAGAGAGCGTGAGGCCTGTCCTCCCGAACCCTTCGCACTCCCTGCAGCCCGTGCCCTCCCCGCTGCCTGTCCCCGGTGCCCCCCCCCTACCTCGGAGCCAGCAGAGCTGGTGGTGGCGGCGATGTGGCCCTTCAGCGACTTGCCGATGGCCAGCAGGTTCATCTCGGAGCCGGCTTTCAGCCTGCCCTTCATGCGGCAGGCCCTCTCCAGCTGCCCCACCTTCTCCTCCAGCTTGGGGAAGGCTCTCTTCCCTGCAAGGAGAGCAGGGGCACTGCCAAGCCCAGGCACCCCTCGACCCCGCTGGCTGCTCAGGCAAGGGCCAGGCACCCCCCGGCACAGGGGCAGAGCCCCTCTGCGGTCCTACCGATGAGGATCTGCAGCCCATCCCGAGCCCCTTTCCTCTCGGGCAGCGTCAGGGTGCGCTGGGACCGGGAGAGATCCCTGCTCCGGAGCTCGGGGCTCCCCCTCGCCCGCTGCGGGCTGGCAGCCCTGCCCCGGAGAGCTGGGGAGGAAGGGCAGAGGAAGGATGCTTGGGAGGAAGGGCAGAGGAATCACGGCACATCACCGTGCTCGCGGGCACCGCAGCCTCCATCCCAGCACGTGGGGCTGGGGTACACGGGGGAACCCTGCTGCTCCCCTGGATGGAGCATCCAGCCCCTGCTCACCTGCCTGCGAGGGCAGGGCGCTGCCTGGAATGTTGCTGCAGGCACCGGTGGGCAGCGCAGACGCTGGTCTCTTGCACTGCCCTTGCACCGCTCGGTCCAAGCTCTGCTGCTGCGGAAGGAAGCCCGGGAGAAGCCCGTGGGCCAGTGGTGGAGCATCCAGCCCCTGCTCACCTGCCTGCGAGGGCAGGGCGCTGCCTGGAATGTTGCTGCAGGCACCGGTGGGCAGCGCAGACGCTGGTCTCTTGCACTGCCCTTGCACCGCTCGGTCCAAGCTCTGCTGCTGCGGAAGGAAGCCCGGGAGAAGCCCGTGGGCCAGTGGCTCTGTCCAAGCTCTGCTGCTGCGGAAGGAAGCCCGGGAGAAGCCCGTGGGCCAGTGGACGGTGGGAGCCTGTCCCCCTCACCCTGGGCCTCGCATGGGGGTGCCAAGGGGCATCAGCGGCGCTTACCCGCTG